AATAATAATAATAATAATAATAATAATAATAATATTCATAATGAGAGCTGGGATAGCTCAGTTGATATAGTGACGGGCTACGGGCTGGGCGGAAGGGCTTCGATTCCCGGTAGTAGCAAGTAATATTCCCCTATTCCAAAGCTTTCAGACCGACTCTGGGGCCCACACAGCCTCTTATACAGCGGGTAGAGGGAGTTCTCTCCCGGTGGCAAAGCGGCCGAAGCGTAAAACTGATCAGTCACCTCCATCTAGTGCCGAGGTCAAGAAGAGTGGAGCTCTGCCCACACCCCTCCATTCCCCTTCATGTCATAGTGTTTGAAACAATAATAACAGTAGGAAAAACAAAAATGACACTATAATGCTGTACAGTAAACTGAAACCAACTTTTCAATGTTCCACCACCCCATGAAGACGCCTGGAGATGTAGCTGCACGCAGTCCTAACCTCGGTACTAGACGGAGGTGAATGGTCAGCTTCACGCCCTGGCAGGTTTATCCCCAGGGAAAAGAGCCTAGCTGGAAACCAGACCCCATCTGGAAGCTGTGGAGAACATAACAATATTTTACCCTTGTCGAAAATCGAACTAAGGATCCTCGTAGCATCCAGATTAGCTCTAAGCCCCACCCGGATTCCTAATAACTGGAAAATGTAGCGGAAAGGAGTCTTTCCCAGGGAGTAAAATGGCCGGAACTCGATGCTGATCACTCAATTCCATCTAGATCCTAGCTGAAGAATTTGTATGGAGTTAGACCACCGGTCTCCCTACGTCTTCATGGCGAATTGCTTAATCCAGTGTAGAGATTTGCCATTTATATTAAGAACATATTATCACTGATACACTGTTAGCACAAAGGTATGCAGATAATGGGGTAAGTTACTTGCTTCCATAGCGTCCTACAGAGCTGTATCTGCAGGCAGCTCTGTGTTCCCAGTCGCAGTGGGCTGACGGGAGACAAGGAGGGCGTCAGCTGTTCCCATCAGGGACGACAGAGACAGAAGGAAAAGTAATTTTCTGTCGTATTTGAAGAAGAAGGCAGAAGTCTGTAGATTAAAGTCTGTGTTGAAGCACCATGCGAAGAGCGAAACTGGGATAAGAGAAGGACGGAGGGGGGTGGTAAAGAGGAAGAGAAGTAGAGGGGAAAAAATGTCAGAACCTACATTTTTAAAACGGAAAGTTGACGTTTTGCAACAACAAAAAAGGGGGAGGGGGAAGAGAGAAAGAAATTGATTTGAAAGTTTAGATAGAATAAAGAATGATGTATCTACGCTGGGTAAACTTCTCGTGTTTTCTTTTCCTTTTTTTTTTTTTCGATATGTCAAATGTTTCACTTGCGTGTATCTTGGTGCTTACATTGCACCAAAAGGGGCGGTTCCGCGCGTCTACTTCGTAAAACTCTATTCTAAGAGCCAGAAAGGATTATACAGCGAAACCTGGCTGCCTTCTTTTCGCTCAAAGGGCTTTAATTTTAGATAATAATTCTGTTAATTTGTATACGTAAAAAAGTGCCTGTGTTTAACAAATTAAGCCCTAAACCATGAAGATGTATGGGGGAGTGCATGTATAGATCCACGAATTCTTAACCTGGACAGTAGTTGGACGTGAGTGTTAGATCCAAACCCAGGTCACTTTGCCCCAGCAGAAAGAGTCCCAGAGCCGGTCTGGACAATATAGAAGTAGGAAAAATTTTTCCTCTACCGGGACTAGAACTCCAAGCTTTCGGCCACCCAGCCGGTAACCAGTTAACTATATCGACTGCACTATCCCGGATCAATATTTATATATAATAAACTTATAATTTCATTATTACATGAATGACGTATTACTATGGAAATGCTACAATGAAATAGTAATCCAATTATTGCATGGAGTAACAGCTCTTTTCTTGCGAAGAGCTGATCACCGGCCCATGGAGTCCTATCGAATGTCTCAGATCTGGTAAACCGAAGTGAAACAGAGAGTTGCACGGATGTAGGTCAAGGCATAGATTGGGGCTGTAGCGCCAAAGAGAACAAGAATATCTCTTTTATTTGCTCGTTGACTCTTCGGCCATGTCACTCTAAGATTTCCGGCTTTCCTTCTACCTTCTGGATTGCATTAAAAATTCTCTTATCCAACAATGTTTCATCCATTTTAATCATAATTCTCAATCTCTCCAACCTTATTCTGCTAATATCAGATCAAGAGTTTTATATTATTCTGTCAATTCCTGATTAATTCTTATTCTCCAGAACCTTTGTTCAGCAATTGGTTCACAGATACAGAGCAGTGGACCTAAAGTCCATTGTACTGTTGCCCCTTACACTAATCCAGTAAGCCAAAATTATCCAGCATCCTTCCTTAAAAATGGACAGAAATAAAATTGGGATTAAATATTTCTGTAGTATTTCTCCCTTCCTTTATCTCTCCTAAACCTGTGCAACTGCCGGTCACGGTAGCTGAGCGGTCTAAGGCATGTACTGTCTTCGCTCGCTTGGAAACCGGGATCGTGGGTTCGAATCCCACACAAGGCATGGATGTTTAATTTGTGTGTGTGAGTTTTTCTGTGTTTGTGTACAGGTAGAGGCCTTGCGACGAGCTGATCACCCGCCCAAGGAGTCCTACCGAATGTGTAAGATCTAGAAAAACCGAAGTGAACGGAGAAGTTCATGGAGGAAGACCTAGGCCCACTGGGGCTGTAGTGCCAAGGGGAAAAAAATCCTGTGCAACTGACCGCCGTATTCATTAACCTGCAGAAGGTTTCTACGCGTTTATGATGAATGAATGAGAGGAAAGGAGAAGGAAAACTGCGTTTTGTAGGATGTGGATTTGGGTACCATAAACGTAACGGAGACGCAGGAAACAACTGAGGATAAGAGATGTATATGAAAAGAAGGAATAGAAGAAATGATTAGAACATTTAGAAATAATTTCTGGAAATGTAAACCCTAAGCTGAGCCATGGATATAAATCGAAAAGCCTAAGCCCAAACTATGGAAGGAACAGTAACTGTAGCCAGAACAAGTCCAGAGTTTTGCAACCGATCACACAACTGTTGTAACGTGTGTGGGGTACCGATGTGAGGTGAGGAGTTTGTATGGTAGAGCGTTACTTTGGGCGTCAAGAGATGTTCTTCTGGTGATAATGTCTTATTCAGTTCTCCCCTTCCTTCGATGCGTCATGACAGCTCAGCTTTCGAACACAACAATTGACATAATCACAAGGCATATTTGAGCTGGAAGTAAATCAGGAACGCAAAACTATTTCCGTTCTAACTGATTTTTTTATTATTATTTATTAACAATCAGAATTACGTACATTCTATAGGTTAATGGTTTCGCTAAAGACTATTACATGTCATGCGAGGAAAATGTCCATCGACATCTAACTGAATGAAACACAATTTTATTTGGTGAACATTAATTTACTTTCGGACTTTATCCATCGTCCTGGTTTTAAGATAACTAAGAAAAACACGACGTTTCGGAAACTGGATCTGTTTCGTCTTCAGGTGAGGGAAAACACCTATTCTCTTGTGTCCCTTAGAAAGAGCTAGCCTCAATCACGTCCAGTGATTCTACCGGTACTCGAACTCCGACACCTCGGCCGTCCAGCCCGTAGCTAGTCGATATACTGACTACGCTATCCCGACTCACACTTCGCCAGGGTTCGGAATAAAATTCACAGCGGCAGCGATGCCTATTAAAAAACATTTCCTCCAAGCCAACCTGGAAGACTAGGTCACGCCCTCCGTGGGGAATTTTAGCGTTCGCAGAAATTTGTTGTGGGACTGGCTGCTGTACGATGACGTACTAGTACCCCAGTCAAAGAGAGACTTTTATATTTACACTAGACCTGCATGCCTATATTATATCATTTGCATAGAGCTTCTTCAATGGCCGGGAAAGTAGCTCAGAATAAGTAGGGTCGAATGGTGGGAAGATTAGTGAAATATTACTTGAAAAGAATATGGAAGAAAAGCGGTAATGCCATATTTTGAGGTACTCGGTTGGAATATTTCTGGCGGGATTGAGGAAAACCACAAAAGGATCTCAGTATATTCGGTGTCTTTGGCCGATATTTGGGTCCGTCAACTTACGGATACAAGTCGCAAGATTTATCTCCCTCTGCAAATTGTCTCTCTTTCCACTCCACTGAAAATATTTATTTTAAATTCTGCTGTAGGAAATATCGTGAAATTTACCTGTAGGGGGAAGTGAAAAATTTTATAGAATATTGCGCGGAAAATATAAAGAAGAGACAATTTAGAAAACCTACATTTAATGGATACCGGTAAATATTGTATAATGAGGTAATATATAATTTGAAGAAAGCAGTCTTCCAGGATGTGGCACCGTGTAGTTGTGGTGTTAACCGACGTTTCGGAGGAATATATCGCCTCTATCTTCAGGGTAGAAGATGGAGGCGATACGTTCCTCCGAAACGTCAGTTCCGTTTTTCTAGATCTTACACATTCGGTAGGACTCCTTGGGCGGGTGATCAGCTCGTCACAAGGCCTCTACCTGTACATAAACACAGAAAAACGCAAACACACAAACTAAACATCCATGCTCTGAGAGGGATTCGAACCTACGATCCCGGTTGCCAAGCGAGCGAAGACAGTACATGACTTAGACCGCTCGGCTACCGTGACCGGCCACAGGAACAACTTTACCTTCATCTTACTAAATTAAATTTACGAGGTAGTTACAAGAACTTCATGTGTTCACGGAGCACCCTTCGCTGGCGACAGCAGCTGTAATCTGATGAGAACTGAGGCTCACTGAAATGAAACCGTGTCTGCTACGTCGCACTACGCTATCCGACACGTGACACAAAAACAGAAATCGCAATATTACGTGAGAGACGGCAACTAAGAGATAGACGCGATAAACTTTCTGGACCTGAAATCTTTCAGATCTCAGCTATTCGTCATAATTACTCTTCTCCTTCCTCTTCTCCGAGGCAGAAGTCGTCAATCTACGAAACGATCACAAATTCTGCTGACGTCAGCATCGGTAAGACGACATTTTGGGTACCCATCGAAAAAAATGGAGCACCATGTTAAAATGTTCCTAATGTATTTAGAAGAAAGTTGGAATTCGGGATATAAATACACAAGAAAATTTGTGGAGGATTCTTCTTTTGGCTTTCAGCTTTCTCCTTAAACACGTTTTTACGAAAGCCTAAAGTAAATCTTATCTCCTTTCTAAAATTTATTCGATATTCAAAAACTGTGCCCAACATCGTCAAAGACGAGCCTATCTTTGAATTTTCCTTTTCTCAGATACACGGTAGCTATAACGGTTACAGGTTTGTGTATCGATGAAATCAATAATATTATATTTCAGCATCCTGTGACATTGATGCATCACTCGTGCACTCATTTCCATCTGTAACGCAACACAAGCAGTTCACAGTCTCTCCTTCATTTTAAAATTTGTGGTTATTAAATTGTACACCAATCAACACATTGACTTACAGATTGTTCAATCTGATTGTCAGTAAAGGAGAGAAATAAATAAAAATATCTTTAAAACCACTTTTAATTGCAACATGTTTCGGCCTTACAAGGCCATCTTCAGGAAATTGTTCACTCACTGAAAGTGCCGCACTGCGAACGACTATATGGAATAGCATGGGATGCATTGACATAAGAGCTGGTGCATGTAGCAGTTTCAGTTCGTGAACAATTTCCTGAAGATGGCATTATAGGGCTGAAACATGTTGCAATTAAGTATTATTTTAATGACATTTAAAATAAAGGGGGGGGCTGTAGGTAATTTGTTTGGGGCACTATGCTATAAGCCGGAAGGTTGCGGGTTCAAGTCCCTATGAGGTCCTTGAAATTTTCAGTTGACCTAATTGTTCCAGCCACACTATGACCCTGTAGTCGACTCAATCTCTAACAGATATGAGGTCCAGGAACCTTCCTGAGGGCTAAAGGGCGGCCGGCACGTAAGACTGACAACATCACCGCCATCTGTGAGCCGACTGTCTAGAGAAAATATGGGAGCCTCGACGTCTCACAACCTTATGGGCCTCCACGGCCTGTTACAGGGATATCTTTACTTTTTTTAAATAAAGGAGAGACTATGAGCGGTTTGTGCTATATTAGAAACGGAAATGAGCGAATGAGGGATTAAATCAACATGGAGACCATGGAGGTATATGAAATAGTTAAACTGAAGCTAATCCTGTGACAGAAGGGCAGAATCTGAAGTTTCGCCATCCCTAGTAATACCAGAGCGCTACATCGGAGAGGAACCTGACCTAGTTCCATCTAGTTCTCATCCTCACAACATATCCCCATACAATTCATCTTAATGTTATTCTCACCTCTTGCTTGGTCTAGCAAGTGGACGTTTTCCAGGAAGTTTTCTTTCCAAAACTGTACTCAGTAGTCCGCAACGCAACGTACGCTCCAGCATTTCACTATCCCAACAATACAAATTGTCCCGTAGAATTTTATCAAAATCACAAGATCATTCGTAACGTAACAAGCTTCTTATAAATCTAGATTTTCTATTAGGATAGGCCTTCACCTAGCATAAAGCTAGCTGAAACTTCAAAAAGGAATCGTTCTCTTATCACACTACGGGGGCCTACTTATGTAAAATATCCACTCATGTATAATTAGGCCTAGAGCTTTCGAGGGACACTTTGAAAGCAGAGCTTCACTGAATACAAATGCTACGAACTTTAAACGTCCTGAAAAGACATATTCATACTGAGATAATGAACTTGATACATGCGCTAAGCCGTGCTGCTATCTAGAGGTACACTAAGAAAGTTTTCCGGAAAAAGTGCGTACTGAAATATCGACACGAGCATAAGTTCCTCTGACGTGCATTGCTACCATCTTCTGCCCTTATTCCCGACTAATGTTAGCCTTTTATGTCTTACGAAAAAAACAGTGGAATAGACAAAAGCCTCTGCAGTTTCTATAGGAAATATTTAAGCTTAATGGATGGTGTGGTTTCCGCACAATAGATAAAAGTGGGATCCCATGAGGAAAGCGGGGAAGCTGCTCTCAATAAGGGTGACAGTGTGGACGGCGTCTTCACGTCAGCTGACCCCACTTCGCTGTCGGGGGTCACGCTCTGTGGTGTGATCACGCAATAACCGGATGTTACTCTCTATCTCGTGCCGCATTATGGGTAATAACCGGCGAGGAGCACGGAAAAAGGACATCGTTCCAAGACCCGCTCCTGGGAACTTACCTTATTCAGCTTGACACATTCTATGACGAGTGTACACTTCGGACGTATTCAGGAGGTTATAGAGTTCGACTCTTGGCACGACTTCTGGTGCTTTTCATTAGTTTTACGAGACAAAGGCTTGGATGATACATTGCAAAAGCCACGACCTCCTTCAGGTTCTTGTCAGTTCAAAATCTCACATCCATTTGACTCTATATGAAGTCTCAGAACGATAAAGTGTTCTTAAAGATTCGAACAATAATTTAGCCCAGTCAAAAAAAAAAATTCCCAAATCTATCAGTTTCTAGAAAACTGTTTATAAATTTTGACAGTAACCAATAAGAGAGGGAGATTAAATTAAGACGCTATTAACGAACTTGTTGTATAGAAGCAACTGGGGAACAAAAAATTACGTGAAAAATTATTTGTTAATTGGCTGCATGAAGAGATACACTGTGGAAGAACTTAGTTTTGGGAACAGACTAATTTTAAAATGGATTTAAAGAAAGAAGTCTTAGAGTTGTGATGAACTTGCAAGGTTCGAGTTTCTCACAGCGATGAATATTAAGATTACAGTGATCTGCGACCTGATGCCGAACAATCTTGTAGATATATAATATTTCGGAGAAACTTGTTGCCTTTATTTTTCTGGTACTGGAAGTTTTATCATGAAGATATAGCGGGTTTATCCGAGACTTGTTGTTAGGAGCTCCACGACCGGGCGTATACGTAGAAAGCTTCTACAACGAAGACCTTTAAACGACATACACGCCAATTTCTACACTGTGGCATTGTAACATTAGTATTTGGCATATATATTTCTTAACCTCCCATACTAAATAGTTTTAAATATATTTAAAATATTTTAAAGCATTTTTAATATTTTTAATATTTCCATATCATTTTCAAACACTTCCATCACTTACTATATCTTGATATATGGAATACATTTCATTTTTATATTTTATCTTTTATCTTATTTCCTATATTATGTATGAATTGTAATACCAACTTGAGGCAAATAATATCTTAGTATGTAATACGACATGTTGCGCTGATATGGATCCATATCTGTACATATTCCTATATATAACTACCTGATGACGATCTTGTACAACCGAAACATGTAGCAGCAATAAAATATCGAATTATAAAACATTAAAAGCCAGTATATTTGTTGTG